GGCCACCATCCGGGACACACCATCCAACACAGGACCTCTGAGTGAGAGGGGGGATGGGGACTAAGGACTGAGGACTGGGGAGCTTCCCAGAACTTCGCATTCGTATTTCCCATGCACGTCCAAGTCAATTGCATTGATTCGATTCTAATTCGGGTTTGTGTTCTGTACTTTACAAGCACCGAACCAGACCAGAGCAGACCACCCAGTGAAGGGCAGACCGAGCCAACCAGCTCAGCAAAATTTCCCCAATAAAAACCAGAAAATGGAAAAACGAGCAGGAAGCAGGAAGCAGGCGACAGGACCCTGGACACTCTCCATGTGTCCCGACTGTCATTTGCAGCACATAACAAAGTGTCAATAAACAACTTGGACAAAGAAGAGGCCGATGCAGAGAGATATGAAAAGAAACCAAACGAAACGAAGCGAAGCGAAAGGAGAGAGAGAGCAGGTCCTAGTTCTCATTGCTCTCGGTTGCCCTGGCTACCTTTCTGGCAAGGGGTCAACTTGATTAAGTCTTTGGTCCGAAGGTGTTGCAGCCTATACAGGAAAAGGATTCACAACAGTAACAGGACCAGGACACGGCAAGGACCACAGGCAATAGGCAATAGGCAATAGGCATCAGCCGAGAGGCAGGAATCTCATTTGCCAGACAGACAGCCAGAGAGAGGAAAGAGAAGGAAAGACAGCAACAAAGAGCGACCTGGGAGTGTGGCATTCATAAAACTGTGATTTGGCTCAGAATGGTTCAAGTTTTAATTGAGTTATTCATAGTAGGAGAATTATTGAGAACTCGAAAACCCACAGTTCGAGAAGAGTGCCACTTGCCAGGTGCTAAGTAGCCGCATTTCATGGGCAACAGTTTTGTGATTAGCAAACTTTTTGATGAATAATTGTTTAGGAAGGAGAGTTAAAAGCTCTTAAATGTTAGCTCTTGTGGTGAATCATAGGTTGGGAAGACTTAAAGAGTCTGATAATTAAGGTCTTCTGATAGGTCAAGGGTTTATGGTTAGTGTCACTGAGTTACAATGGTAAAGATATTCCCTAAATTTGTTGGGTTACCTATCCCTGTTGTCCACCAAGCGAACTATCACTGTAGATAATCTCATTTAGTTTTATTTTCTATACTGCCAGTAGCTTAAAAGTCGCAAAAAGTACACCCTTTTCACAAATTAGTAAACTTTTCAATCCCCAAAATGTGAATCGAAAACTGTGACTGCCAGCTAATCCGCATCTCTGCCGGTCCAGCTCCAAGCTCTCCAATTTAACCACAACCATGGCATTACCCAGACCATGCCCGTACCCATAGCAGGAGATGGGAGGTGGGAGCCAGGAGGATCTGCAGTAGGAAATGGAGCTGGAGCTGGAGCTAGAGCTGACCAATTCGCCGACTTGTTGACCTGTCCGCTTTTGTGTTGGCCCCCGTACATACCCTCTCCAGTAGATCCTTTAGGACCCTCTCTCGGAGTACCACAAAAGTTTTTAAGCCCAGTTTTGGCTGTGAAAATTATAACTGGCCTGCTGACTGCTGAACTGCCACAACGTCCTCATCGCTGGCTAAGCTCCTGCATGCTCCTGTACACATCATATGCACACACCCATACCAGCCCCTACACATTATATACATATACACATATGAGTACACATACTCGTACCCTTGGAGGCCAAAATTTTTGGAGAGACCCTTCTCATCCCAAAAAAAAGTAGGCTAATGCCACTTTCGAGTAGTTCGGCCGCAGAGTCTCGCTCGTGAAGTGTGTTGGCTGGAAGTGCACTTGTTACCAATTAAGCTAATCCGTCAGATAATTAGTAACATAACACACACACTGGCACGCAGGAGGACACACACACACACACAGACACCCATACACATAGGCAGAGACACACATGGATGGTAAGGAGAGTCCTTCAGGCTGGCAGGCTGGTTTCTCTTGCACTTCCTCTGGTTGCTGTTGCTGCTGCTGCTGCTGCAGCCTCGGCACATGCAATTTATAGCCGCACGTGGTTGTTGCATGTATCACGTGACACTTGATTTCCGGCGCAGTTGGTTTGGCTCCCCTCTAATGCCTGGCACTGCCCCAAAGCCCTGGTTGCTGCCTCACAGACCTGCCTCCTCACTGGCATCCAGCCTGCCTGCCTGACTGCCTGCTGCCTGCTGTTTGCTTTGCTTTTCTTTGCGACTTTTCTAATTTGGACGTTGGCACAACATGCAATGCCATCGTCAACGTCGTCGCGAAAATTTGTGGCTGCCACCTTATTAAAAGCGCCCAACAGCTGAGCCTCCGACTCAGCCAGACAACGTACAGGGTCTCTGCACAGCAAGAAACTCTACGAAATGTTTGGGATACTCTCCAACAGTGACTATTTTGGAGCTCCGCCTCTTGCAAAACAAGGTTTGAGCCTGATTTCTCACGCTCGTGGTATACATCTGGGTGTTTTCTATCCCATTTACCATCTCGTAAATAGCCAACGTTGCAGACACGCCTCTGGAAAGGATATTCCTTTCTCTCTCTCTCTTTGGTCCATTAAGTGAATCGTAATCTGTACAAATTCCAAATGTTGGCCATTGTTTTTCTGAGTGTGTGGACTCTATTAGCTACTTCTGCCCTCCGCCCCTAACCTGCCACCAATTCGACCCATCCCAACATCCTCTATATATTCCAGGGCCACTTTTCGTCTTCGTCAACTGTTCTGCTGCTGCTGCTGTTGCCTGGTTTCTCCCTCTGCTGCCCCTGGCCCCCCTTGCTGCTCCTGTTGCAGTTGCAAATTGGCTGGCAAATGTCGTTGGTTGCTGGCTTATTAAAATTTCAACGTGTTCATTTGCCTGTAAGTCAACGGGTGCAGGGTGCAGGCAGCAGGTGGAGCGGAGGTCCCTGGGATTACTCTTCCAACAACTAGTTAATGTTTGATTTGCCTGCCTGCCACACATGGTTGCATTTTGGTGGAAAGCAATCCTCCTGCATCCCTCTCTTTTCCGGCTTCTAGGCCTGCCTCTGCTCATCTTTCATTTTCAATTTGTTAACTTGAGCAGTTTGTCGCCACATGCAGAGGAAGCGTCAAATTAGAAAAGGATCCTCTCGAGGGGATAGATATTTAAAGATACACCTTGACAGGCACTGAGTTTTCAGGGAAATTGTTGGGAAATTGTGAAATTTGTCACATGCTATCAATAAATGACTATAAAAGTTATTTGAAATCACTCTCAAACCATCCAACAATAGAATATTCTACAATTTATTTCAATTTGCTGTGCTCAAAAGCCGAATTTCCCTTCAAGGCGTATTCCCAAGAGGAAAGTCTTGTCCTAATGGGGAAAGTCTGTTCTGGAGAATAAAGAATAAGGATGAAAATCGTTTTTTCATAACTGGGAGACTCAACAGAGTTGACAATGCTGTAGCCTATCGTCTTTAGCCTGCCCCCCCGCTCCCGTAATTGCCTTAACTGTTTCTAGAGTCCCTCCTCTCACCGAGCATTGCTCTAATTTGTTTCTAAGTGGACCCCTCTAGGTCTCTTCCTCTCTCTCCCACTCTCGAAGGGCCCGCACCCATCCCCGCATAATGGCTAATTAAATCGCTTGAATTACAAGCCAACAATATTAAAATATTACAATATAAACTTTTCTTCTCGGAACAGATTTCTGCCAGAACAACAATACAACTGAGGGGATGATAGAGGAGGGGTGGCGCGCAGAAATTGTGGGCGAGGGAGGGGCAGTGCTAGGGCTAGAGGTAGAGCATTTCGCAATTGAGGACCGGGGCCCGAAAATATTTTCAACAGAAACTTTTCACATTAAATAAAATACAAAATGCCCATTAACAGTTCGAGTGGATAAACTCGGTTTGCATTTCCCTACAATACACACACACACACACACACAGATACAGATACAGATACACAAAAGCACACATACAGATACATTTATACAACCGGAACAGGCCCCCAAACAAAAATTGAATTTTCGGTTCGAGGCTCAAACTCAAAAACTCGCGCATGGAATGGTTATACGGGTGGGTGGCTGGATGGCTGGGTGGCTATACACGATCAAGGGGGGCGGGAGCGGAGATTGAGGGGGTGCTGATGCTGTGGGAAAACTGAAAATGATGGCAAAGCGTCGAAGGCGAATGCCACAAGGGGCATTGTTGTTGCTGGTTGGCATACAATAAAATACGAACGAACGACAACAAAGAAGTACAAATTAAATCCCAATTGGAGTTGACCGCAAAATGGAAAAGACCACAAAATTATAACCACAACGATGTGGGCGAAAGAAGGAGACGGCTGCGAGTGCTCCCTGGGAACGTTGCCAAGGCTGTAAGGGAGTGGGCCACAGACTCGCCCCATCTACAGAAAATCGAAGCGAAGCTGTAGATAAGCCACAGTGGTGGCAGCATCCAGCATTCAGCCAAGCTTTCGACTTGTTTTGTTTGAGGGCGTTGTGGCTTGATGAGCTGGTGTTCTATAGGGGAAGAATCAACCGCACCACAACACACCCCACACCCAATCGCACACACATAGTTACCGTACATATCGTTACATTTTGGCAATTGATCTGGCAATCGACGTGGCTAGCATTTAGTTCTGGGCTTTATTTCTTTTTCTGCCTCAACGAGCCAAGCGAAATTGATATTTATATATTTAACCCAAAGCCAACAATAAGCCAGGCCAGAACCCGCACATAGGCCTGGCCCGAAAGTCCTTCCCCAGAGGCAGAAAGACAGACAGGCCGCCCAGCACACGGCAAACGGGGCGTATGCTTAATGTGGCTAAATGACGTAGTGGATTTCAATTGATTGGGTGGAAAAGAAGCGGATATGAGATGGGACACTCTTGTTCTCTTGTAGACGCTGATTCCAGTATTGAGTTTCCATCTATTTTTAGATTACAGGAAGCAAAGCCAACCAAGGGTAGAATTTAAGCCAAGGATTTGATTATATAGCGCTACTAAGGGGAAGATTTTCCTACGAAACCTGTAATTGATTTGTACTTATGTTTCATTTTCGTAGGAGCTACTTGGCCAACCCATGCCAGCGGCAACCCGGACGGCGTTGATTCGTGGGAAGTGCAGCTCTATACTACTTTCCGGGAGGTAGTCCCTCACATGGAGTGCTTCGAAAGCTCTCTAAGAATTCCACTACTTTCATAGTCATGTTCATAAGTTTAGTCAAACAAGTTCCTGCTATTGACATTGGTAACTATTCAACTATTCTAATATTTTCGTTATCGTGTTTATATTTTGTGCCCCTCGGCGGTGATGCTAAACTCTGGCATATTGTTATTTCCGTAATTAGGTTGCAGTCTGCTTTCTCTCTATACTATCAATGCAAAATTGTTCCCCTGAATTTCAATATAAATAATTGATAATATCAGGTACCATGGGCAGATATGTCAGGTCTATGTATGTACGTACCTCAGGGTATTTTAGGAATAACTTTAAACAGCAGATTTGAAGTTTTCAGTGCACCACTGATGTCAGCCCAAAGGTAAGGAAAAACATATTCAAATTTAATTCGAGCCATTCACAACATAAGAACACTTAAAATAAACTTCAAACCCTTTCAAATTACCTACAAGAGTCAACCAATTGGTCTTGTACTGCCACAATAGCATTTATGTAAATGTTTTCTGTCAAAGCCGACACTTCATTGATTAATAAGACACTAAAAATAGCCATGAATCGAATTGAAGATGCATCTAGTATGCTAATGATCCCATCCCGCCCTAAGATAGCCTTAACAAGAGCATAATCAATGCTTAACCAGCAATTTGTATGGGCCTCGTCTCTGCCCCTCTGCGCAATCTGAAACTGTCGGTTTCGTGTCCCACATTTATAATTAGCCAACAATAACAAGAGCAGACCCAGAAATTGGAGGAGCAGGAGTCGGAACCTGCGACCAGCAGGGGTCCGGGAAATTGCAATACAGACAAGTACGACGCCTCGTATGGCAACGTCAAAGTTTGGTCTATAAATCGTAGCGCCAAAATTTAAATTAAAACCAAATAAATTAAACGCCTTTCATTGAAGATTAATGGCCTTAAAGCAGGCGCGCGCTTTGTGCCCAAGTAGAGAGTTCCGAGGAGGAGGGTTCCGAGGGTTAGTGCTCGTACATTATAGAGGGGCTCGACGACTGCCTGCAGCCTCTCGCTTTGTACGCTTGACTGAGATTTTCATGGTTGATGGATTTTCAGTTTTAGATCCTGAGCCACAGAGCTCGGCCTTTAACGTTTCCATTGCCTCTCTGATATGCTATAGCTTGGAAGCGATTGCTTTAAGCTTGGGACCTGCCCGGCGGCCATTACGACACGTACTCAATTCAATTTGATTCTTTAGTGAATTCCAATGGCTACACTTTCATCACGTGCTGGTAATGGTCGTAACACACGAACATCCAGGGTGACACATTTATGCTCCTGCCACCCTGAAACACCAACCCGGAGAAAGTCTTCACATCATGTGTAAAACCAGTTGGATTTTTATATACGATTGTATTCTATTCCCTTGAATTTGATGAAATAAAAGTATGGGAAATTGTAGATCAAATTGTAAATTGACGTAGAGCTGTAGGGGCAACATTCCCCCGATCAAGAAAAGGTGATTTATATCGATTTATAACATTAACGAGGCCATATCCTAGGTTCAAACGACCGAGGACATTCTGGCGATTAAGAGAAGCTGTGGCACGCCCAGATAGAACAAGAACAATAACGGAGGAAAGTAAGTATTTAAAGCTGTGAAAAATATCTTGTCTACCTTGTATATACCTTGTTAAGGACTCCATTAATTGAGACTAAATTCGCCAATCGCAGGTCCACAAATAGCGGTTCTTGATAATGAATCCATCGTGAATGTTCCCCTGATCACAGGAAGCCATATCACTACCAAATCGGTCCACAAATAGCGGAAACATCAGCTTATGTACATATGTATACTCGGATGTCAGAATCCTTATCCAAGGATCAAGAATATCAACAACGACGCCGAATCAAGCGCTGGGCTTCAGCTTCGAAACACGTATGTAAGTGAATCAGTATACATATAATTGTGGAATTATTTTAAAATATATCTTCCTTTACAGAGGACTTATGTACCTTACGCTTGGCATAAAGAGAGAGTAGTATCCGATTGCGCCTAGACGGAGTCCTATCCCAGCCAGACCGATTCGTATCCCAGCCAGACCGAATCGTATCCCAGCTGGACAGAAGCGCACCCCCTTCAAGAGCCCGAAACTAATAACACGCCATCAACCTTCGACCTGGCCATCGACAACTATCTCAAGGACTTCGGCTATGGCAACCAAGGCAGGGGCTACGCGGACTACTAGACTATAGATAGACCTTGTTGTTGTTAGGTTTAAGTATATATACGTCTATGCGTTTAGATAATAGATGTAAATGGAGTCCACTAGCTTATTATTTATACTAAGTTAGGTTATAATGAATAAAAGTATGAAAACCCATCCTTGCTGTATCCTGTATCGGGGAAACTATCCCGACTACAAAAAGACGTGGCATGCCCAGATCGGTTCACAAAAAGAGGAGAAAATTGGATATTTTTGATTGGATAAAATGTCCTTGATCCTTGGAAAGGACTCCATCAGATCAAGAATCTTATTCCTATCACAGGAAGCCATCACTCGTCCAGATCGGCCCACAAATAGCTGAGAAAACTAAGTAAGGACGGTGGGGGCTGTTAAAGTCCTTTCCCAAGGAACAAGGATATTTTTATGATCACGGGGGGGCCATGGCACGCCCCGATCGGGCCACAAAAAACGAAGAAAACAAGGTATATGTCTGGAGAAAATATCCTTGATCCTTGGTCCTTGATAAGGACTCCATCAGCTCAGGGACATTTTTCTGAACACAGGAAGCCGTCGCACGCCCAAATCGGCCCATAAATGGCGGAGAAAATGAATAGTTTTGATCCTTGATATCCTTGGTCCTTGAAAAGGACTTCAAAAAATCAGGGACATTTTTCCGATTACAGGAAGCCGTCGCACGCCCAAATCGGCCCATAAAGAGCGGAGAAAATGAATATTTTTGATGCTGAATATCCTTGGTCCTTGAAAAGGACTTCGAAAAATCAGGGACATTTTTCCGATCACAGGAAGCCGTCGCACGCCCAAATCGGCCCACAAATACCGGAGAAAACGGCCAAAATCTGAATGGGATACCAGGCGAACAGAAATCAGCAGCAAGCAACTGTAGCGAATTCAAAAAAATGGTGCATACTTATGGGGGCTCCAAAATTTTAAAAAAATTTAGCGACCTTCTTCTGATTTCTGTTTGCCTGGTATCCCATCCAGATTTTAGCCATTTGACGCGAGGTTTTTTCTTTTGTACGGTGGCGCCCCTGTCGGTGATTTCTTGAACTACATTTTTAAAGACAGTTACAGTCCAGATTTGTTTTCTCCGTTGTTTGTGGGCCGATTTGGACGTGCGACGGCTTCCTGTAATCGGAAAAATGTCCCTGATTTTTTGAAGTCCTTTTCAAGGACCAAGGATATCAAGGATCAAAACTATTCATTTTCTCCGCCATTTATGGGCCGATTTGGGCGTGCGACGGCTTCCTGTGTTCAGAAAAATGTCCCTGAGCTGATGGAGTCCTTATCAAGGACCAAGGATCAAGGATATTTTCTCCAGACATATACCTTGTTTTCTTCGTTTTTTGTGGCCCGATCGGGGCGTGCCATGGCCCCCCCGTGATCATAAAAATATCCTTGTTCCTTGGGAAAGGACTTTAACAGCCCCCACCGTCCTTACTTAGTTTTCTCAGCTATTTGTGGGCCGATCTGGACGAGTGATGGCTTCCTGTGATAGGAATAAGATTCTTGATCTGATGGAGTCCTTTCCAAGGATCAAGGACATTTTATCCAATCAAAAATATCCAATTTTCTCCTCTTTTTGTGAACCGATCTGGGCATGCCACGTCTTTTTGTAGTCGGGATAGTTTCCCCGATACAGGATACAGCAAGGATGGGTTTTCATACTTTTATTCATTATAACCTAACTTAGTATAAATAATAAGCTAGTGGACTCCATTTACATCTATTATCTAAACGCATAGACGTATATATACTTAAACCTGACAAAAACAAGGTCTATCTATAGTCTAGTAGTCCGCGTAGCCACTGCCTTGGTTGCCATAGCCGAAGTCCTTGAGATAGTTGTCGATGGCCAGGTCGAAGGATGATGGCGGCTTATTAGTTTCGGGCTCTTGAAGGGGGTGCGCTTCTGTCCAGCTGGGATACGATTCGGTCTGGCTGGGATACGAATCGGTCTGGCTGGAATAGGACTCCGTCTAGCTCAAATACACCTCGGTAATGCTTGGATACGATTCCGATTGGATGGGCCCAATCGGATACGACTCTCTGTTTATGTCGAAGCGTAAGGTACATATGTAAGTGCTCTGTGAAGGAAGATATATTTTAAAATAATTCCACAATTATATGTATACTGATTCACTTACGTGTTTCGAAGCTGAAGCTGATTCGGCGGCGTTGTTGATTTTCTTGATCCTTGGATAAGGATTCTGACATCCGAGTATAGGGAGTGATATGGCTTCCTGTGTTCAGGGGAACATTCACGATGGAGTCATTATCAAGAACTGCTATTTGTGGACCTGCGAGTGGAGAATTTAGTCTCAATTAATGGAGTCCTTAACAAGGTATATACAAGGTAGACAAGTTTTTTTTCACAGCTATAAATACTTACTTTCTTCCGTTATTGTTCATGTTCTATCTGTGCGTGCCACACCTTCTCGTAACTCGTATATTTCTCATCATCTCTCGACATCTCGTGTGTCCCCAATCATTGCCTTGGGCTTTAGCTTAAGTTAAAATCTGCTTGTAATCATATTTACTTTTAAAGGATAAGCAGCCGCTACATAATGTTGTTGTTGTGCATGTGAATAGATAAAACTTATTCAGCTAAAACGTAATTTCATTACATAGATTCAATAAAAGTTTAAGCTTAACTAGGTAACAAATTGTACAACTTATTTCACAGCTTTAGGGCAACGCAACATGCATCCGCCAACAAATTGGTGCAGATTTTCCACAAGCATTCCCATGGTGATTTTGGTTTAGCAAAAAATACAAGAAAATACGAGCAAAAAAGGCCACAGACAAGTGCATTCGGTGTATTCCCCTGAAATAGAGAAAAAAATGTATTGCATATTGAAAAAATATAGAATATTTAGTACACCTATGGAAATTGAAATTGAGTGTGAACTAAGAATGTTTTGTTTGATTTGGTATGAATACTTTTCATTAGACTTCATTCATCGAATATTTTGTTTGATTTGAAATGAATATGAAGTTCGAGGTCAGAAAGAGTTTGGAAAATCCCCCAAAATTCACAAGAAACACATAAACTTCGCCCCAACTAATCTCTCAAGTACACATACTTTCTGGGATATCAATATGCAGGGAACAATGTACTTTTTAAAAATAGATTGCCAACCCATTAAGTTTTGCCCAAGTACGAGGCCGAGCCCGAGCCCGGGCCCGAGCTGGCGAGCTTCAACGTAATCTGCTTTTGCTCTCATGGAAGCCGTCCCATTCCACCCACTGGAAAATGGAAAATTTGCTCAACTTTTTCCCAGAGTTATGTCTATGAAAAAGTACCGAAAATCTTCACCGACTTTTGCCTCCGTTGCAGCGTCGGAGCAGCTGCTGTTTGCTGCCTTGGCGCTCTCCACAGCTCCACATCCTTGCAGCAAATTGTCAAGTTGCGGTTGCGCCTTTGAATTATGCAGAGACGGGGATGCAGGAGAGCTCCGGCATCCTTTAACACAACACGGAAGAGGGGTTTCTGGGGTGGCTTGGGGTCTGAGATGTGTGGCAGTGGCAAGCAGCTGAATTTATATGCAGCTTAGTTGCAACCCAAAAATTCTACAAATTTTAATAATAATGAGCTGTACACACACATACATATACTCGTAGTGGAGGTCCTTCCGAGTGTGTGCGCGTGAGTGTGTGTGTGTGTGTGTGTAGACATGTGCTGGTAAAATAATAAAGCACTCGCACACACACACACACACACACACACACACACGCTTTCACATTGTTCGAGCTAGAAATTGGATTGCAGCTGACGCTCGGGCAGAAAAAACAGCCCACTCTCTGGACCAACCTCAACCGAAGGCCCCATACCCAGACCTCATACCATCCCGGTGCACCTCATAATAATATTATGTTGCAGCTGCCAAGGCGCAGAGCGAGATCGTTGCTGCAACTGTTTGCACAGTTTGTGGCATGAGGCAGGCGAGGCAGAAGGCAGCAGGCGGGCGGCAGGCTGCTGGCGGCTGGCGGCTGGCCTGGGGAAGAGGAACGACTGCGAATGTGGCGACGTGTGGTCGCAAATGATATTAACAATTCATTAATTAACCTCATTTCGTTTGGGGTTATGACGAGGAAGGACCGAGAGGCTGAGAACCGAGAACCAAGAACAAGAGCGACAACCATGGCACGAGTACCGTAGCGGTGACAACATAGAGGAGACTGGACCGACCTGGCCGCTACCTGAGCAAGCCCAATGCCAGGGAAACCGAAGCCATGGTCCCCTTGTCATTGTTCCGGTATCTGCAGCTGGCCCCCGAAAGCTTAGTCAGTCAGTTCATGTGCATATTTATATATAGTCACTATAGTTAGTACGAGTATAGTCCTTTCCGGCAGCCTCCCTTCTCCCATCTCCCATCTCCCGGCACGTCACCGTTCAGTCTCTGCTTTACGCTAAGTTAACTTTGAGCCGGCCATAAAACTCACATGCGGTGTGGCTTTTGGCAGGGATGTTCCAGTAATTAACACAATTTGGAGTTTTAGGAGAGGAATTATTGTTTGATGAGGAAATCTAACGCTTAAAGGATTCATCATTGTTTGCTCCTGCTCATAACAATACTTACGCAAAAGTACATTAAAATCCTTAGCAACTACCTTCCACTACGCCTCAAGAATCCACCTGAAACGAAATCGAAATCAACAGTCGCGAAATATAGAAGGATTGAGAGGAAATCATTTTAGACTTGGCCCAAACGTCGCTTTGTTATTACAACTGTCACCCGCCCACTCAAAGACTCCGCTCTATCGCTCTGAGTGCTGTGAAGGTCTGTGTCCTCCTGCTGCCATCCTTCTCATCGTCATCCTGCCTAGATGTTGCTCTGACATTTTAAATAATTAATGTATAATGCATACCAGATGGCAGTGGGCTGAGGGCCGAGTCCTACACAACTACCGAAAATGCTGCCACTGTTGAACAAAAATAAAACAGAAATGGAATGGTGTGGTATGGGATGGATGGAGCTCAACTTTTAACTCAGCTGCGAGTCAACTGTGGGCTCTGAGCACCGCGCACCGAGCCCCGAGCACCGAGGGCACTCAGCTTGGACTCGTTTC